CTCCAGGTTACTGGAGAGTACAAAGACAACAGCAGCACGGATGCTGAGTTCCAGCATCAAGCAGAACTTCTTCTGTCACTGGAAGCCACTAAGCCACAGCATTTCTTGGATGCCAGCACAGCCTTTCCCCATATGCTTGTAGCCAGAACTCTGATTTGTACCAGCTATCCCAGTCCTCTTCCTTGTTCCATTGCCCTCACACTGTGCCAAGTTTTTCCATTTATTCCTGTTTCCTGATATCAGGGCTCCTGCCCACTTTTTGAACCAGTCCCTTGGGGAGCTGATGGGCCTGAGACTCCCGGTCCTGCTTCTAGGCAGCTCCCTCCCAGACACGATAAAACTCCCACCACAGGGTAGGAACAAAGCCTGGATGTTCTGACTCAGCCTCTCCAAACCCCTCCCTTGACCCCAGTTGTGAACTGAACAGTTTTTCTGGGAAGGGGAGCCCCAGACAGGAGCTGTCTCTCAAGCTCAGGGTGCTGAGCCTGCAGGAGGGAGCCCTGACTGTAGTCAGAGCTCTCCCACTGCTCCACACGGCTCCAGCACCAGCCACAACTGTCCATTCATCAACCACTAAACAAATGGAAATTTAAGGGCTCATGGCTCTATAACACAGAAAACAATTCCCTGTGCATTTTTACGGCGCTGTAATTTATTGGATCAGAAATGATGAATGGCAGCAGGAGGGGGCAGGGCCCAGCACACAGGGGAGTGCTGATGCAGTGGAAACCAAAGACAGATGTGTAGCTGAGGGCAGGGGAAGCCCCCAGGATTGCTGCTGCATGGGGCTGGGGGAACACCACCATCTACAAAGACTAATTCCCTCCCACACCTTGCATCCCTACCATTCAGTGCAGGATCTGTAGTAGAGGCTTCTGTAAGAAACATCCACACGAGGAAGAGCAGAGTTGGGCTCCTGAGAGGCACAGCCTCACGCCTCCCAGGCAGCCTTTGCTGGCAGCTTTGCAGATTCAAGGCACAAGCAAGAAATGGAAAAAAGCTTCATCCCTGGGGAAAGAGGAGCACCTGGTGGAAAAACAGAGTGTAAACGTGAGCACTACAGCTCCTCCCCCATGTAATCTCCAGCTCTGGAGTTTGAGCTGCATTCAGCAGTAATTGAAACCAGGCTCTTTAACACAGGTGCCAATTACTGCCTGTTAATGCAAGGAGCACTGATAGATACAGCAATTACACCGCTCTGCAAGGCTGCAGAGCACAAAACGAGATGGAAGGGCTACTTATGCCACTGGAGGTGTTGTAGGACAACTCTCTGCCCCAGCAAACCTCTTGCAGTGTTAGACTGGGCAGGTTCTTGCCCTCTGGCTGCACACCTGCATCTCCACCTGAGTAACAGCGTGCCCTTGCCACAAAGAGGGGAAGGATATCCTGTGCTGCCTTCAGTAAAGAATTACCAGCAGGTCAAGGGAGGTGATTCCTGCCTTTATTCAGTGCTGGTGAGGCCACAGCTACAGTGCTGTGCCCAGAGCTGAGCTCATCACTACAAGACACATGGACATGCTGGAGTCCACCAAAGGGCCATGAAGATGATGAAGGGCCTGGGAGCCCCTCACATCTGACAGAGCTGGGACTGCTCAGCCTGGAGAAGACAAGGCTCAGGGGGAAACTTGTCAATGTCAATAAATACCTGGTGGGAGGGTGGATAGAGAATCCAGGCTCTGTTCAGTGGTGCCCAGAGACAGACACAATGGGCACAAACCGGAACAGGAGGTTTCCCCTGAACACCAGGAACCACTTTTTCCCCTGAGGGTGACTGAACAGTGGCACAGGGTGCTCAGAAATGTTGTGGAGTCTCCATCCTTGCAGATACTCAAAGCCATTGGGACACACTGCTGAGCAGCAGCTCTAAGTGACTCTGCTTGAGCAAGGACTTGGGCAAGATGACCAATGGCCCTTCCAACCTGAACCATGCTGTGATGGTGATCTCCAGCTGTTCATATTCTTTGTTGTCTGCCATTTGTACACTTCTCTTGCCCAGCTGCCTTCCCCCCTCCTCTCTGCTCAAAGCCTCCCCCATTCTTTGCCTTCCTGGGGGTGATGTGGCAGTGAGGAAGGGGGCTGAGGCAGGCATACTGTGGCAATGATGGCAAGAAGACAACGGAAAGTGCAATTTTCAGAAAAATCCTGCAGAGATCCAAGAGTGTGAACATCAAAATGTGCATACCCCAGCAATGAGCAAAACCAAGAGAGCCCCAGTGCAGCAGCAGGGGTATCAGAGGCAATTATTTACCACTGCAGAGATTGCAGATGAATGTGAGCCCTTTAAAGGCCCAGGCTGGCAGTAACCAGCACTCCTCCCATCTACACCCCGAGCTTCCCCTCACAAGGCACCAACCACAAACCGTGTAATTAATGCTACAGAGATGTTCACCACTCAGAAACGAGAAACAAAGCACATCTTGAGGCAGCCCTAGTGCTGGCACCAGGCCCCACATTGCTGCTCTGCCTTGCTACTCCTGTGTGTTTTGGAGACAGGCTTGCTTCCCCACAGTAAGCCCACTGGTGCTACATGCCTTGTTTGCTGGGCAGAGGACCAGAGGAGTACAGGGGGGTCTGCAGGGATACTTTCTCCTTGCCCTCAGGATGTTTACAGTATTGAAATTTTAGCAGGAAGCCAAGCATCTGTTCTTCAAATAAGAGGTCTCCCAGGGGGATGTGTAGGGAGGCAGAATCATCACACATGTAAACACCTGGTCTTACAGTCAGGAACAGAGTTTGCGGAAGGAGTGCAGCACTTCTGAGACTCATTCAGCTTTGCTTCCTCTGCTTAATTAGCTCAAACAGCATCAATATTCAGTGGCAGCCCTCCCTTGCCAGGGTGGCTGTGTCGGTGTGGGGCTGGCACAGACACAGCCCTGAGCCCTCCCCAGCACACGGGTCCCTGGCACTGCGCTGCTCCCGAGCGCTTCCAGGACATTCAGCCTTCACACGCTTCCTTTCAGGAAGGGGCAGAACCAAACTCTGCCATGCAATGCTTGTCTCTACTGAAAACTACTTCCCCTACAGTGGCCCCTGGCTTGGGGCTGGTCAGAAAATGGTCTGCACAAGCAGTGAGCTGCACCACTCCTCTCAGCCAGCCACAGGGAGCACAGTGTGGCACCAAGAGACCTCTTCAAGGCAGAGTCAGGGCCCTGTGCCTGCACACACGGCTGGGGGCTCCCAGGGCTTCCCGTCCCACTGCATCAAGCCAAGCCTCAAACAACTTCAGCAACACCAAGAGGCCTTGCCTGCCTCTGACCAAGGCACTGCAAAGGCACCCAGGGCTATTCCAGAGGCAAACAGGACCTACTGGTACTCCCAGCTTCCACTACAATCCTGTCCATACTTCCAGCCTCCCTCCTCAGTAGACTCCAATCTTCAATCTTACTTCTTCATGACTGCAGTCTGTACCTCAACACTCACTACAGGATTCTGCATTCTCATTTATTTTGTGCCATTGCTGTAGCACCCCTGTCTCTCTCCTCCAAATCCTTCATCTTTGTGTCTTTTTTCATTTCCAGCATTTTCAATGCACAGGATTTTTTCATTATGTGAGAGGGTAGGCAAAGGTTCTTCCTCCTTTCATTAAATATTAGTGCCATCTTCAAGCAAGATGGACAGCATTCAACAGATGAGCTGTGCTGCTGCTTTAACACTCTGCTGCACTGCCCTACACCAGCACAGTCCCTCCCCACCTCTGCCAAGATTGCCCACAACTCTGCCATGCTCCAGGAGCTCCGAGACAGAGCTGGAGTTCTAGGATATCACTTCTGTCTTAAAAATGAAACAAGGCTGGAAGCAACAGACTACGTGGTTCTACAGGTCACAAGCACAATTGGATTTCATATTCAAGCACCACATCTGGTGCAAATTCTGGCCTGAGAATGAAATTGCCCTTGCCTTGGGTTTACAGGGATCTGAAATCTCAGTCTGGGAGTTACACAGCAGAAGGATTCCCAAGGTTCAGTTGTAGGTGAGTGGGAAGTGAATTGAAGGAGCAGCTGTGATACTGTTGAAGACGTTTCATGTGCAAAGATTGACACTGCCCCACATCAAGCACAGAGTATTTGGGGCCAGGAGCCCACAGCTATTGGCTGGTAAACAGGGTGAATCCTGCTGGAAGCATCACAAGTCCCAGTTATTGGAAAATACAGCTAGGTCCAGACCAAGTCAGCCTCAGCTCCAGACTTGATGCACAAAATCCCTTGTTCTGCCAGCCTGGTGTGGACGTGCTGCTTCAGTAGCTTTACATGAGGAAGCTGCACCACCTGCTGTCTGCTGTGAAGCCAGTTACCAGAACATGATCAAAGATGATCACTAACAACAAAAGTTTTCTTCAGAGCCAGTTTTTTTACAGGACATGCTCTTGATTAAAGTCATCAAGAAAGACTTCATATCTGAAAACTAAGAAGCAAGATCAACAGAGGGACAGTTTAGTCAAAATGGCTCAGGCTCTCAAACAGAATATGAGAAGTTCACTTTAATACCCAGCTCCTGCCAGAAGAAACATTGTACTGCTATCCCTTTGGGAAACTCTGTCAAGTTATTTCTACTCCAGAAACTACAAAAGCTAGCACTGAATAAAACTTTGAAAGATGTGGAAATTCTGCCATGCAAAAAACCAGCCACCTGCCCAATACCACTTGAGGCTTAGCAGCAACAAAAGTGACATCTTAAACCCTGCTATTCTTCCTTCCTGGACTGCAGCATTACCTGATCCAACCAAATGGGGCAAAGAGAGAAGATTCTTATAAAAAGCCACGATACTCAAAGTCTTCTTAGGATATGGTGCATTAAGGCAGAGCAGTCAGTACATTCTCTTGGCTGGCATAAATATGAGAGGCTTCAGAAAATCTCCCAAATTCTAGAGATCAATGACAGCTGGACAAGTATTTTGTGTGCCAGGCCTTATAGGCACGCAGTAGCAAGGTCAGTGGAGGACTAAAAGGAAAGGAGTTGAGAAGACAAATGAACTCTGCTTGATGAAGCATAGGTACAGAATGTACAGACAAAAGTGATTCAGAAAAAGAGTTTATTTAAAAAACAAAAAAATCCCCCCCTCAAAACCCCACATACTTTCTGGTAAGTTTATTGCTCAAGTTAGATCTCCTGTGACACTGCTCATTCTCCTCTTGGCCTGTGGCACCAGAAGTACTTGTGCACCCCTGTCTTCCCTCCAACCAACATCATCTGGAAATGTTCATCATTTTCAATTGGTCCCAAATACCAGCATTTAATTCTGTCCTTACTATGCACACAGAACATGGAGGTCCCCAGGCACAAATGGTCCTTCTCACTGGGACAACTCTAGGGATTTATTCAGTCATATGATCCACCAGGATGGAAGTTTCTAATTTGCAGAAACATTTAAAAAAAAAAAAAAAAAGCAAAGGTGCATCTACCTTGTCCTTTGAAGTCAAAACTTAAAGAGCAGTAAAATCAGGCTGCAGTCCAGACATGTCCATGTTCACTCTACAGCTCGTGGTCTACACTCTCAGTAAACAGCCTCCAGGATCCCCTAATGAACTTTTTTACAGCTTTTCCCTGTCTCACTTCACCATTCTACATCCCCTGAACCAGGGCTTGTCCCCCAAGTTCCTGTCAAAGGGATACTGCCTGTTTCTTGTGCAGCATCTACAGATCCACACTGCAGCAGTACAGCAGAATTCTCTCACCAGGCCCTGGCTCTGCTCTGGGTGGTCACAGAGACTTTTGGACCTCCATCCTGGATAGCTGTCAGGCAGGTCTGGTTACAACAGAGCAGGTGGCTTTGTGCTTCATGTTCAATCAGTTCTGTTGTGGGGTTTCAACCACCTCTTCCTCTTCCTCACCGTGTTCAGGGTGGCGCAGCAGCAGCTCCAGGTCAGGGTCAGAGCTGGCCTCTTTTTGTGGCTCCAGTGCTTTGTCACCTGCATGCAGACAGCTCATTTAGTGACAAACTTGCTGGAGCTCCCACCAAACCTGGCTCTGTCGAGGAGCTGGAACCAGACACAGCTCCTAGTGAAGCAATGAGAAAGCCTTCAAAGAAAGAGACAGTGATTTAAAACAATCACCTTTGGAATTCCTGGCTTTGAGAACAACGTGAAGAGAGATTCCTGACAGGCAGACAGCAAAGCCCAGCCAGTTCAAGAGACTGAGGCGGTCTCCCAGTAAATGTGTGGCGAGGAATAAAATACAGATTTCCTGTAGAAACAAAAAAACCATGACAAGTGGCAGGGCAGGACCTGAGGAGATATGCATGATACATTTTACAGCTGAAGCCTAGATCAAGATGTCAGGCTGCTAAATTTCCATCAGCACATTCTTTCATGCACACAGAGTTCTAAAAACAGTTTCTAGAAACAAACAACCTGTCAAACCAGGATGTAGGATTTTAAGTCATCTGACTGCACAGCTCAGTTACAGAGGAATCTTGCAACTTCTGGATCAGAGAGATTTCATATATCACAGTTCAGCTCAAAAGTATATGTGCTGGACTCCTCTGAGGAAGGGAGGATGTGCCAAACTAGGTTACAGAGACAGCTCAAACCAGTGGTTTGGTCGTATGCAGGTCTGACAGAAGAGCTTGCCCTTCTTACCCCTCCTCTCTTCCACACCATCTGCTGCTCATGAGGGCAATGTGTTTTAGTCTGTCCCATATTCCAACAAACTTTGATCATTAATGGTATTTTTTATAGAACAGCCTATAAACTATAAACTAGTTTTACAGAACTAGTCTCTGGCCCTTTTCTGTCAGGGACCAAGAGACTTCACTGCAGAGACTGCAAGGCAAAGCATCAAGCTCCTGTGCAAGGAGAACAAAAACAACAAGCAATAATTTCTAAGGATCTAAGCAAGCTCCCACTATGTAAAGCCCAATAGGGATGACTCAGTACTTGCCTTCTAGGATTAGCACAGGAACCATGCCTTACCTTAAAAATGCCAGCAATGGAAAGGGTGAGGCTAGATGTTCTGGAAACCAAGAGGAACTCAGAAAAGCCTAGACCAAAGGCAAGAATTCCACCCAAGAACAGCTTCCCTACCAGAGAGAACAGCATTCCTGCTTCATGGAAACGGAAGAGCTTCTCTGATATGGACAAAGGCAGGCCTAGGAACAAGACAATGAGTAGCAGAATACCATTCCCAGCTCCCAGGATTCTTCTTAATAAGATTGATGGGGTGGGCTGCTCACATTCCAGTATCAGGAGGATGTGGAGCCAGTTCTTCACAGCCCTTACTTCCACAAATGTGGCAGGCTACTGCTTCTATGCATTCTTTATTGTCCTGCCAGCATAATATAAATCCAGGTCTCGAGCTACTTTGCAGAGTTCATAGCTGTTTACTTATCTAAGTGAATTATCTCGAACAACAAACTGCTAACCAATTTCCCAACCACTCTATAAAGCTATCCCTGCTTTCTCTAATTAACTCACGCACCCTCAAACACCGCAAAGAGTGGGAAGAGCCCCAGGAACATGAGCGGCTGCAGGTGAAACATGATATCAATGGGATTCTGGAGCCCTGAAAGAGGAGAATCAGTAACAGACCAGGCAGCAACAAGCCAGGGAATAACACAGGTCCCCGAGCCTTTATTAGCACCATTTCTAGACATAACCTTATTTGTGATGCCCACACCTGCGCTGCTGCAGACACCAAACCTTCATTACCCACCAAGAGATAGCCTGTGCCCAAGGTTTCAAACACTTTCCAAGAGATGTTTTGTTGCTGCAGCAAGGGCTATCACCTCTCTTGATTCCCCTCCCTGTTTACCAGCACCACCACCCCCTCCTAACACCCCACATACCCAGCTCAGCCTTCTGCATCAGTATCTGTGTGAGAGTCCAGCGAATGCCCCCCAGGAAAGAGGCACAGAGCACCAGCACAAACCCCTGGGCGTTGAACTGTGTGGACTTGTAGGTGAACATGAAGAGTCCCCCAGCGATGAGCAGAACCACCAGCAGCAACGTCACCCTCTGCAGGAGAGCAAACACCAGAGACAGGCATCTCCTTCCTTTCAGATTCACCCACACAATTGCATCATTCCTCTGCTAACATGTTTCTTGTACATGCACTGCCTATTTCCCTGGGCCTGACCTCCCTCCCTAAAGCAGTGTGTGGAACCCTTACCATTTCCTCCAGCTTGAAGAGCAGTGAAAAAAGCAGGATGAAGAGAATGGCAGAGGATTTGGTCATTGTGTAGCTGTAAGGACCAAAATACACTGTCAGATTCCTTCAATGTAGCTCTTCCCATCAAAGTACTAAGAGGAACCATCACCCATTTCTACATTGCTACCAGCAAGCTATCACAGACCCTGCACGCTGACCTACTAACCAAACACCTGTTCAAGAAACAGACCCTGCCAAAACACTCTCCAAATCCCACCAGAGGCTCCCAGGGAACGTGGTGCTTGTACTCACAGGGAGACAGTGACGTACAGGAAGCTCCAGTTACTCAGCCCAATATCCAAGGAAGTTGACAAAGCTAAAGAATCAATGAAAAAGTCCTGAAGTTAACTGCCTTCCATGACATTAAACAAACCCACCACAAAACCTTGCTTCATGGCCACAAACATAGATAGCAGAGCAGACCCAGGGGGGGAAAAAAAGCTTCCCTCAAGTTAATTCTCCAGAACCAACATAACTCAGATATTCTCAGCTCTTCATGTTTTTTGTCCTGTTCCCTGTGACTCAAGTTGGGCTCAGCATTGCACTCACTCAACATGCATTACAAAAAAAGCCAGAAATAACTCTTGCCCTCCCTGTGACTGAAAGTGATTACAGATTTGCATAAAGTCTTTCTTGAATGTATCAGAGCATGATAACTTGTGAGTCTGAGGGCCACTGCAAGAAGCCTGAAGAAGCAACAATTATCCACATACAGCCTTAACCCTGGTGCAGCTTTTGGTACAGTTTATTCTCCTTTCTATGTAAGTTTTCTACCACAGGAAACAGTGTTACTGATCCAAGGGCAGGCCATGCTGAAAGGTAAAATTTCTGCAGATGTGGAGAAAGCTTTTTTCAAGAAACCATGGGGCATGTTATGCAAGATACTGCAAACCTTGCCAGAAATCATAGACCAGATGCTGTTCTGTGGGAGCCAATACAACACACAGCCAAAAAACTGCAGTAGCTACAATTCTGTGCTCCGAGTAGGAGCTTCACTCCTTGGTCTCAGGTACAGCTCTGTGTGCCATGAATGATGAATTCTCTACCAATCTCCACCCTGAGAAAGATGCAACACACGGCTGGATACCAGTGTTAAAGAGACGATGTAACTTGCAGAGACAACTCAAGGCACTGCAGAAGGTTCTCATTGTTCGTTCTCATGTGCCAGTGGCTCCTTCAGAAAGACTCGTTCGGTGTGGCCTCTCCCTATTCTCACAAATCTTTGCAATCAGCAATGAAGGCAGCATGAAGGCTGAAGCTTTAAATAGCATCCACACCTGCCCTACACCTGGTAGGGAAACCCAGGGGCCAGAGCAAGGGCTGCACCCTACAGCTCACCCTGTCCCAGGGATTGGCCCCGAGCATGCCAGGCAGACAAATGGCCCTGGAAGCAGCCACAGCACCGTGGGCACCCCTGAGCAGCCTCACAGAGCCACAGAATACGCTGAGCTGGAAGGGACTCACCAGGATCAGAGTCCAACTCCTAACCCTGCACAGGCACCCCAAGAATCCTACCCTGTGCCTGACAGCATTGTCCAAATATTCCTAGAACTCAGTTCTAGACAACTGCCCCGGGGAGCCTGATCTATTGCTCAAACACCCTCTGGGTGAAGCATGGTATTTTTCTGAGTATCTAACCTAAACCTCCCCCGATTCACCTTTGTATGTTTTCTTGGATCCTGTCAATGGTTACGAGGGTGAAGAGCTCAATACCTGCCCCTCTGCTTCCTCTCGTGAGGATGCTGAAGACCACAACGAGGTCTCCCCTCAGTGTCCACTTCTCCATGCTGAACACACCAAGTGACCTCAGCCGCTCCTCCTAAGACTTCCCCTCCGCTCCCATCAGCATCCTCGCGGCTCTCCTCTGGATGCCGTCCACCAGCTCAGTGTCTTTGTTACACGGCTGTGCCCCGTCCCCGTGCCCTCCCGAGCCCGTACCTGCGGGGGCGGCCCGGCGGAGGCAGTCGGCCCAGGACAGCGCTGCCCGCGGCCGCCCGGAGCGGCACC